ATCCAGATAGTTATCAAATGTTTCCTAAGAAAAAACTTTATATTTTATATGTTCTTTTCACTAACAAAATCTCTGTACAGGTTTGGTTGATTTGACCGATCTCGTAACCACAGTAAAAAATTAGGAAATAAATATAAATTATGCCTTTTTCATTCTAGAATGACTACAAATTACAGCACGAAAACATAAATGTTTAAGACTAAATAGCTTAAATCTCATAACATTATGCATTTACATATATTTATTATTTTTATTATATTGACCTTTCAGCAATGCCTAGCTTAGCTGATGATACAGAAGTTACAATGACACAGTGCAAGTGCATTCATGTTACCATATTCAATAATATAAAAGTGACCATTAGTCTTTAGAAAATGACCTGTCTTGGCTGTGTTTTAGTATACTAGTATTTTGTAAAATACAGTCACATTTCAATTATTATATATTATATATGTATATTGATTATTGCTATTTTGAAATAAGTTCTTAAACTTATTTTTCTTAAAATATAAGACGGTAAATAAAGCAAACAATTATCTCTTCTAGTTTTGACCTTTGTACTCAGTTGCTACTCGATGCAAGTTACAAAACCTTTTAAAATTTTGCATGTGGAGGATATGAAATTAAATATTTTTTTTAGGTTTTTATATATACAGTTGTATAACCAAAAAATCATAAATTACTACATTAATACCATAGAATTCCACTATAATTTATCAAGCTTAGTAACAAAGATGTATTTAAATCTAAAAAAAATATGCAATTTTGAGCAGACTAATTACACACCCAACCTTGTTGAAATATTGGTTAAAAAGAAAGAAATAGCAATGAGCCCATTAAAATGGCTGAGAAAGCCAGAAGTAAGTGTATTTAAGGAGGACTTCCAAAAATGGAAAGAGATAGGCAGGATGCCACTGTGTTTGATTTATTACACGAGCAATATCTTAGCAAATTGAAAAGATAAGAGGCTCTTATTTTATATTCTTGCTTATATATATTCTTATATTCTTTATATTATAAAGACATAGTATTTTGGCATCACAAACATCTAATTTGAACCAGTGCTGCATTCAACATACCACATGACGTTACATCATCATCCTCAGGAAACACGTAGAGTCGTCAACTTTTTGAAGGTCATAGATAGGCCTAAATAAAATGTTTTTAATTGTGTACCAGTTTAACGTTGAATACTATTTATGATTTTAACTTTATACACAAGTGCCAAATTACTATAATTATAATTTATTTAGGTATTAGAGATTATGCAAATGAAGTTTGAAAATAGTCATATGAAGTATTTTTACTCAACATGAATATCACTTTGCCCTCAGAGCAGTCAACAATGAGACAAATTCAGATTTTTTAGTACAAAAGATTTGTAATGTTTACTGAACAGTAGCTCAATTTTTTGAAGATAAACAACACGTTAAAAGTTATAGTATGGAAACTGATGGTTACAAGGTTAGTTACATTGGCCGAGCCTGTATAGAAAGTTACACACAGAGCTGCATAACTATGTCTGTTAAAAATAATCATTTGTCTTACATATATATTACAAATCTGATAATAAATACCTGACTTAATGTGAACACTTTCCCATCAGCACCAACTTTCTTCAATAGTTCCAGAAAAGAAGGCTTCAAAACAAACTACAGTAAAATAAAATTGCTATTGTATAAAAGAAACACATTAACTCATTTTCAAACACCACAAAAAAAAACAACATGCACATGCATATAGAACTGGGTGATTTATGATATTAGCTAATTAAAAGGTCATTAATCAAATATATTAAATTAATTGTTTAATATCCCCTCCCCAATACAAGCATAAAATAAGTGTATGTTACCTTCATAACTTTTCCATCACCTTTTTATTCTAACATGGTCTTAATCTTCATATTTTTGTTTGCCTTGCTTTGATTTTTTAAAGCAATTTTTTAATTAAACTTGGTTTCATATGATAAAACTCTTCTGAAAATTATAACATGGAAAAACTTTTCAGTTATAACTATCTTACATAGTTTGGAAACCATTATGGATGAATAAGCATAAAACAAGAAAGTCTATTCAGATAGTGCTGTTGTGTTAACAAGTAACAACAAAGCACTAGCTGTAGTAATGTTTAATTTTTACAATGATGATATGATGCCATCTAACTTTTCAAAAGTTAGCTATATAATACTAACCACATTTTGAGTATTTTTACATGAAAGAAGAGGCTTTCACTGTATTAATAGAGTACTTTGGATTAATCAAAGCTAATCATAAAGTTCCAATGCAACCTAAACAAGTCAAACAAAGTTAAAATAACAAATATATTGTGTAAATGATTAGCACAGTCAGGTAATAAACAAATCATTTCAAAACTTGTATCTTCATTTCTGGTAATGTGATTGGTATAAAAATAAGAACAGTTCAAAAGATAACATTACAAATTCTAAAATTAAAACAAATGATATATAATCATATTTGGAAAAAAATAAGAACATTGGTAAACCTGTTTTCGCTTTTTTTCATTTTTTACTTGGTCATACTACTTGCACTTTTGTTTATTTTAGAAAACAATACAAAAAACATCTTTCTCACCAGAGTTCTAACTTATAAACAATGAAAAACTGACTCCTTAACAAATCTATGTTGTAAAACTTACAGGCTTCCTAAACAATACTAAATTAAATTTAAACAGATCTCTAAAAGCCTTGTCACTTTGTTACTGTTTGGAAAAAGCCAAAGCATAAAAATTTACCATGGCAACATTTAAATATAGCTATATTAGCTTAGAAACAATCAGTTATTGGCTATGGCTTTAACTGGATTGTTGTAGACTACAGCTACACTATGGTAATTAATAGTTCAATCAAATAAAAACACATCTAATGTATCTTTCTGACACTATGGTATATGGAAGTGTAAAGACACTTAGTAATTTTTTATTTAAGTCCAGAAAAAAAAATGGAGGGATCAGACCTTCCTAGCTTTGCACCTGTTTATACAACATTAAATAATACAGTTATTAATTTATAAAAAAATGGAGGGAGTCTAGATCCTCTACCATAGATAAATGCCTTCTTATATAATATTAAAGAATACTGTTATGCAATTCTAAACTCTAAACATAACACAATGTAAAAAAAAACAGTAAATTTACCCTTTATTTAACCCTTAAGTTTGCAGTGAGTGCTACTAGTCAGTTGCCTTCCTTTTAGTAAAAAACAGTTTTCAAAATTACTGACATAGGCAGGTAGTAGTTTTGCAATAGTAAAGAGGGCAAGCAGGCATAGGGGCAACTTGAGCTGAACATGAGACCCTTAAGTCACATTTGTGCTTAACAAATAAACATAATGGTAATATTTTGATTACTTGGCAGTTGTAATTATCAAAACACTAATTCCAATTACTTGATTATTTTTATGATAATTAATTTAAACATAGTATTGTTTTATCTACTGGCATAATTTTTCATTCAACAGTTAGTTGTTAGTTTTCTCCTGATTTACGTACACAACTGTTATTCACTATCAGTTAGTGTTATCTACATGTATCATTACAACTAATATCTGAAAAAAATGTTTACTACTATCAACAGCTAGGACTACTTTCAAACAATTATTCTTTGACTTTTCCTTTCATTAGTTTTTTTTTCTCTCTGTACACTGCTGTCATATTGTGATACAATTTTGCAAGTTCTCCTATGAAATTACTTAAGTCTGCTGAAAGTGTGAAAAGATAAAAGAAAGAGAGAGAAAAGAACTTAACAGAAAAGATCACAAAAGGAACTTCGGGCAATACAGTCTGGAACATACAAGAATTGTGTTAAAATGGAAGCATGTACTTCAAAAAATTGGAATGTAATCCTTGTAGAAAACCAAGTATGTATGGAAACAGGAGTATTACCTGTAAAAATCAAAAGGATCTGTATTTTGAATAGGGGTATGATGAACAAACAAATTGAAAAGAAATGGCTTATCACTAACAACCAAACCCAGATCATGACATATCTGAAGGACCAGCAGAACCAAAAGGTATACTCATAGGTCAAAAGTAATGAACAAATGCCAAAAAAGAGAGACTGGCTTGTTACTGAAGCAGCAGAGGCAACTTTTTTTTTTAATCAAGAGGAACTCCTCAATAGTCAAGGCTGTAATTAGATCTGAACTTAGTCAAGATATGTAGCTATGAGATAAAAGTTTGTAGTCGAAAAAAAAACTTGGAACCATTCTATGAGCCGCTATGCTGATGTTAAATTGCAGGGGGGCAGAAAATGACACTTAACAGCAAGGGAATGGAAGAGAAATGACACCACAAAAGAGGATTATATACAAGCCCTTGAAAACAGAGACCACTAACCACTGGACCACTCAGGCCTTCCCAGCAGTTGAAGCAACATTTTATGGTTAACTGATTATAGTTCAAAAAATGTATATAAATCAAGATCTTAGAAATATATTACATGTATTTTTAAATATATATGCATCAAAACAATTTTAGTTATTTTACAAAAAACATTCCTATAAATGAATATAAAAATCTTCCATACTATAAATGACAAGTTAAATGAATTTGATTAAGCCTATACAAACCAATTATATTTTAAACCTAATATTCTTGCTTTTAATGATAATTTTGTTCAAGTGAATTAATAATAACTACCCACTAATTACATCATCTTAAAAATTTAAATTACATTAGCATAAAACTATTCACCATAATATTTATTACCCTAGAAAAAAGTAAGAGCACATAAAATCATAAATACATGTGTACATTTTACTAAAAAATGTGTACATTATGCATATAAACATAGTAAATTCAGAATTATAGTAAATAATTCAGTGCTACTATAGCATGCACTCTACACAGATACTATCATCATCACCCTTTTAATGATTCACTAAAATATAATTTCTTGCTAAATAATTTATATATCTATCCATGTTTTTGTTCAGCAAATAATAATTTAATAAGTTGTGTTCCAAAAGAGTACCTTAAATTTAGGTTATAATTGTGCTAGTTTTGATTGTTAGAATTTATTTCATTCCAATAATTTTAGCCCCCCCAAACTTTATGTAATGGTATTTTGTAGTTTATTAAGTTTAAAAGCCTTATTTATAATAAATGGTGCCAATTGCAAATAAACGAAAGTTAAAATAATGATGATGATAGTATCTGTGTAGAGCGCATGCAATAGTAATACCCAATATTCCCTTTTAATTAATGGGTTAGTACAATGAACCAAGCCCATGTACATTCAGTTAAGTAAATCTATAAAGCCAATTTTAAGAGGCTCTACCAAATCCTCTTAATAACCTATTAATAAGCCCTAGTATGAAAATTTTAAAAATATAAACAATGCTAGTTATTTTAAACATTCTTTTGCATGTCCATGCCAATTTTCCTACAAATCTCTAGCTCCAGTCCTGGGAGCTGAGAAAACTATTATAACTCTATAACAAGGTTTAAATTTCAAATTTAAACAAATTGTTTTAATTAGCCCTACAGTGGTTAAAATCTTCCATGCAAAATTTAGAGTAATTTGTTAAAAACTCTGGAAGGAGATCAATATTCATGTAAACATAGATACAAATTAGAATTATTACAAAAATGTGAATAATAGAGTGGGATGATTAGTAGAATTTGCTAACTGATTTATTGTTTGGCTCATTAATCAATTATTCTCACATAAGAGTAATGTTCTTATTTTCATCTCCTTTTTCTTAGACATTTTTCAACTTCTCTCATTTAACATGATAGATGTCTTCAGGTACAACAATTTTAGGATTAAGTTATTTTTAATCCTAAACTGTTGTTCATGAACATTTATCATGTAAGGAATATGATACAAAACTTGCAACAAGCTTATATGTGTTTTTAAGTAAAAAGCTTCATAATGGGGTATCTGTACTCTACCCACCAAAGGTATCAAAACATTTATTTGGATGTTTATAAGCTGAGTCACCATACAAGCTGTTACAGCACAACTAAAACTAAATAAAAGTAATTGTCATTAGATTTCACATGATAAAACTTGTAAAGATTCTTGTCACAGCATGTGATAGATAATATATATAATTCAGTGAAAACAAATTAACTGAAATCCTTGAAAAACAGACTTGCAATGTTTACTATTTAGCAAGATAAAATGTGGTGATATGACGTGATCTTTTTGCAGAGATTAAAATGATTCATAAGGTGGAAAGTCAAAGCACTGTAAGAAATCTTAACATCATGGTAACATGAAATCTTTAACTACAGATGTTGAGATATTTTTTCCAATACCATTATCAGTACAAAAAAGTTAAAAAATAATTAACTTTTTAGTATAGAAAACATAGTTAAATAAGCAAGTTATTCAGCAACCAACAATTTTTTGAGTGAATAATACATAATAATTTGCATACATTTTTTATTAAAGCAACCTTATGCTAAGTATCAGTGTTACTCACTGTTAGACTGTTATTAGTGTATGTTTAGTAATTATTGACAAGCAGTTAAATGGACAAGTTATTCATTAATCAACAACTTTTCAGCAAATAAGGAATAATGAGTATTAATTTGCATTATTTTTTTTAAAGCAATCTTACCTTCAGTAGTGTTATGTTTGTGTTATGATAAGTAAGCAATACATTAAGTTAGAGCAACACTGTTATTTATACATAGAAGGTAAACAAAAAACAGGCATTGCTCTGGCTAGTTACATAACCAACAACCAATAATCCATACCCACACATTCACAAATTGTGCAAATGCAGAATGCATGCATATAGTTATGTTAAAGGAACCAATAAAAGCCAACAATCTAAAATACTACTAAAACACTACTTTTGAGTAGTTTAATGTTTTTGTGAGTCGTGAAACTAATCAAATAAGCTGATCAATTGATTAACCTTAAATTAATCAAAAATAATAATGGGAAATGATTTAGATTATTTGGATAGTTGGAATAATCGAAATAACTAATTTGGATTAGTTGATTATGTTTGTAGTATTAATTGATTTAAGTGACAAATATAGGTAATCAATTATTGCAATAAATCTTCCAGTTATACTGAGTAACCAAGTTTAATTTTTCCACATTATATACTTTTCCAAATAAATATTCATTATCAAAGAGTAACTACTGTGGCCAACTCATAATATCCTCTTATGCCTTACAACAATAATTTATGGTTAAATAAACAGCAAAAACTAACTTTTTTTGGAATATGATAATAATTCGTAATAATTTTCAACTAATATGAAATACTGAAGATGGAAATAACCAATTATTATTTGTTACAGATACTTTAAATGCATTACTTCTATAACATTTCTAACAAGTGTGAATGAAACTATTTATATTAAAAGGATTCAATTTTAAGATATATATATTCTGAGGTTTTAGTTAAAATTTTGAAGTTTAAGCACAAACTGAATTTGCTATCTACTTTGTATTCCAAGAATATAAATGAGAGGCAAATAGTGCTAGAGTTCAACTTACTAACGAATAAAATAATTTTACTTTCTTAAGAAATTTATAAGTACTACATTATTATCTTCAAACTTAAAACTATAAGTCCTTCCAATTATAAAAAATAAAGTTTGAAAATGTAACAAGTCACATTCCTTATAATTATTTCCTTTCATGAATAAATTACATTTTGATATGTATGAAATGGAAGTTTCTCTATCACTTACCTGATCTTTTTTATCACCATTGATATCTTGGCAATTTTCTCTCTCTTTTATTGACATGTTGACAAATAAAAATCAAACTATATGAAAAAAAAAACACATACATTAAAGCACATTACTTATGATTAACTGATTTTATTTCTACTGAAACCTCTTTAGAAAAAGCTTATTAAAATTTTTAAACTACTGCATATATATATATAAAGGTCAGCTGTAGTATAGAATGTCTTTTACATAGTAAAAATCTATCTTAATGATAAAAAATATGCTAATAAGTTAAAAAATATTCCTTTTATTTACAGAAAATATACAAAAATGTCAAAAACTTATTTATCATTAAACTACTGATACATACAGCACATAATCAACAGTTCAAGATTTATAAAGAATTAACTTTTACTGATTTAGTGATCTTTTGATTGACTTCTGATAGTAATTTTTCTGCTTTCCTCAAATATACTTTGACATATTTCATTAATTTATTCTTTTTACAGAGCTAGCTTTAAAAACTGTTTAAACTTGTTATACACAAAATTTATAAATTAAAGTATGATAAGTATCATGAAACACAAAAGATTTACAAGTATCGCCCCACTAATAAATACATTAACAAATGCTAGTTTTACTTAAATAAATACAAAGTATGACAGTTCCCTTTTGCCAGTTAATCTCTGCTTGATGCTGGTGTATGCACATTAACATTTTCATTACATTTCTGTCAAGCCATTTTCTATGGTGACATAAAACTCAAAATATTCCAAAATTCTTGGTTTTCACCTTGAATTATGATCATTGCTTGCCATTGCTCTAAAACTCAAATCCAAGAAGCTGAGTACTACACATACATATTACATAATTGAAAACAATAATATAAATTAGTTTAATATTTTCATGAAAATTACCATATTTAATCATAATTTCAAAGATAATTATATTAAGTAGTTGAATTAATTGCTTAGCCCTATTAACCATTTAAAGACTTGAAGAATGATCATTGCATTATTAGGTTTGATGTTTTGCTACAAGATAAGAAAAAAAGCTTAGTTCCTAATTCTTAAAAAGCTATTTCTGAGGCCCTGAGACAAGATTTACTAGAAAAAGTTCTATATTGGGAAGCTACTAAAAATTATGAAAAGAGAGAGAAAATGCCAGCAAAATACATATTCAACAAATCAGTACAAAAAAAATAATACTTGAGACACCTTAAAAGGTTTTTTGGGGGGAGAGGGTAAAAGATAGGGACTAAGTGAAAAAGTGGGATAAAATTAATATAAAAAAATAAATGAAAAACAGAAAAATTTATGGTGTTCTCGTACACAAACGAACGTCACAGCACAAAAAAAAGAAAGAAGAAAATACTAGACGATCACCACCACAAACCAAAAAAAACACAATAAATGCTAAATTACTGAAAAAATTCAAACTTATTAAAATTATCTCGATTGAATCCTGAAAGATGAAAATGCCACAACAAGCTTTTATGAAAAAATACATTTACCCCAAACCCAGAAATTCCCAACATGTAAAACATCACAAACAAAAATAGAAAAAACAAATTATACAAAATACCAAACAAGCTCAAATGTAACAATCGTGAGAAAAATAAAACACTAACACGATAGCCCTATGTAAAAATACATATTTTAAAAACTCAAAAATATCAATAAAAAAACAAAAAACATGCTATTAATATGTGACATGAAATACACAAAACTGGACACAAAACATACAATGTCATGCGTACACCACAAGAACACCAAACTCTTACAATTACATAAGAGAAATAATAAGTGAAAATATTATATCAACAGAAAATAAAAATGGAGATTCAGGAATAAATGGTTGAAATCAACAAACCTAAATTCTGCAAATTAAAATATAACATATGTATAATTTAAGGACAAAACAACGAACCTATTGCTCCATTTATTTAAGCCATTCAATCTACTAAACTTAAAAATAACACTCAGAGTCAGACGTTTATTCCTCAAATATTAATCTTCCCTTAAACTCCCTCAAATTAACTGCATCCACCATATCTGAAAGCAAAAGGTCAACCACTTTGTTAGACAATCTTAAATCCATAAAACCAATACAATTTATAAAACTGTACTTTTTTTTTCTATTAATAACAAAAACTATTGCTTTAACATCAAAATATAAATTATAGTTAAATCTTTATTAATTTAAGATAAAAATAAAAGTGCTAACAACACTACATAGCAGAGTACACAAGAAAACCACCATCTAGGCAAAAGACCATTAAAAAAAAACCAAGTCAGAAGCACCAGAGGAATAAAAAAATAAAACAACGGAATCAAAAAACACAAAATAAAGATAATATAAAATAATAACCAAGTAATGAATAAATTACCAAAAGAAAAAGTGACTTCCTGATAAAGAACTCTTGGTGGCTTATTTGTGAATTGAGATAATGTGTTAAAAAATCCTATGGGACAGATTATGGATTTTTTTTAGAACAAACATGTTATTAAGAAAAGGGTGACAGGAATGACTAGCTTACTAAAAACATGAAAAAGAAAATCAGAAGTAAATGTTTAAAGTTTACATCAACAGCTAGGTTAGAAAGACTTATAGAACAATATGAAAGCTTGAGATTTGGTTAAAAAAGCAATTACAAAATTCAAGAGAACTTGTGAATAACAGTTCGGTGGGAAAGTTAAAACTAACAAGAAGTTAAAATAGGAATTGGGCCTTTAACAAATGCTGATGCCAAAGCTTTGTTGAAGATAGTGAAATAGCCAAGTTTTTAAATGTTTTCTTCTGCTTTTCCAAGAGAGAATAATAGTAATATATCTGACTCTAAGCATTATATGGGAAATATCAAAACTGACTTGTATGATGTAGATATTAATCCCTTGGTGGTAAGTGAAAAGTTTTACATTTAAACAAAGACAAGTGTTTCTAATGGTTCTTAAGGAGGTCAACTATTAGATATGACAACTTCCCTCATTCACTTTTGGTAGGTCAACAGACACTGGGCCCTGCCTGAGGATTGGAGAGTTGACAACATTATTCCTATTACTTAATAGGGTGATAAGAGTTGCCTTGGAAAGTACAGGACAGTCAGTTAACTTCTGTAGTGGGAAAAATTCTAGTCTGATAAAAGAAGTTTTCTAAGATCATTTAGTGAAATCTCATAAATGAAAGACAACAATGATTCACCAAAAGAAATCTTCCCTTACTAATCTATTAGCTTTTTCTGAACAAGTTACTAGCTACCTGGATGACAGAAAGGGTGTGGACTTTGTATAATTAGATTTTGTTCAGCCTTTGATACAAAAGATGGCTTAAGAAAACCATATTAGTATGGGTTATTAACTGGACTTTAGGGTGAATGAATGGGAGAAAAATAGAAAATTTGTTGATGGCATTAAAATATTGGGCATTTCAAGCTGTATGGAGGATAATACGGCATCATAGAATGACTGGATAGTTGCTAAGTTGGACAAATAATTGGCAAATGACTTTTGATTATATTAATTACATGATAATGCATTTAATAATAAAATAAATATACGAGTAAAATATAATATCAGCTATATAATGTGAAGAGCTGAATAGTTGATAAGCTTATATATGGAACTGATGGGATAAAGTATGGATATATTTCTGCTGTATTCTGAAAGTACTGGAACAAGAAGGCACAATTTTAAGATACGGAAAAGACAGGATAGGCCTAGTTAAAATAGCTTTATTTTTCCGAGTTCTTCAGAATTACAAATATTACATATATATATATGCATATTATGTATGTAAAAATACAACATTTTTATTATAGGTACATGTGCCAACAAAACAATGTCAAATTATACCATTTATACAAAGTGTAAATTGTATTATTTTAAAATGAAAATGTCAGTGGCATAGCACCCAAAAGCATTGGGTATATTTTGTCTGTTAGCCATAATCAAAACAACAGATGCAAAACCAGAAAGCAACCTACAGATTCAAAAAGGCATTAGGGTCTGACGCTGCATAGCAGTTACCCCATAAGATATGAAAATATAAATCTGATTTCATCAACCACCCTAGATTTCTATCAAAAATATCACCCAACCTCCTAATAATACATAATATTGTAATTTCAGTGCTATAATATATATGATGTTATAAACTCACCTCTATAGTTCTGGTAACCCTACCTCCTCTCTCTTCTTGTATTTGTAAGTATGTAGCTTATAAACTTTGATGTACTCTTGCACTTCTCTCCTCTAATAGTAGCTAGTTTGGACAGGCACTGCCATTGACTTCTAATGAGTTAAACTTTATGCAATATTTGACTTTTAAAGTTTAATGTAATATTACTTGGCTTTTGTTAAGATCTTGTAAACTATTGCTTTATCTAAATGTTTAACTTTACTTTGCTGGAGTTAATAATGCTGGACTTGTGATATAGAGTAGTTTTATTCATCTTGATTGAGTACATTTTAGTATTCAACTTTTAATGTTAACTCTGGGGCTTTGTTCCTTCTCAATTCTAGTGATAGTTAAGTTATGTGAGAGTAAGGGAGCTAATAAGAGCTTTTATTTATAAATAAGACTTCATATTTTTCTTATCAGTTCTACATGCACCACTAGCTTTTGTTTTTTGCTTTTTAATGTATTGTTGTTTGTGTCAATAATATTAATAACCAGAATCTTCATGAAAGTTTAGGAAACAATTTGAGCTACATTAAAAGCAAGTTGGGCTAGGAATCATTTGTTGGCATATACACCTATAATAAAAATTTTGTATTTTTACAATTAATTCGTTAGAGCTTAAACTTGGAGCTGTGCAGAGTCGAGTAATCGCATGTGCACCTTTAATCATATAATGTAATACTGATAACTGTAATATATATATATATTTTTACTTTCATTATGTTCAACACAGACGAACCAATTTAAGAACGTAAATATAACTGTAGTCGAGTTTTCTATTGTCGCTTGGATCGTTTCACTGCGGAAATAAGGCCTAAAGTCGTATACAACTACAAGCTTTTAACTTTAACTACAAAGTAGAAGTTACAAAGTTATAGATCTCGAGTTCTGAACAATTCAAATTTAACTTTCGATCTAGATAAACATTGACTGGGTGACATAAATTATTGACCTGGAGCTTTTGACTTTTAGCCTATTTCAGGTAAACCATTCAAATTTCAACTATTAAAACTCTAATTAGATTAAAAATGAAACTGAACATAATGTTAGCGCGTTTTTTGAATCCAAAGTTATTTAATTAGCAACGTTTTGTAAAGTTTAACAAGTAATATATATTAATAACTATTAGTATTAAATTCGAAATACAAAACTTAAGAGTTGAATGGTTTTTTTTAACAACAATATCAACGAAACATAATTTGTAACTTACTGTAACTTGAATTGTAATTTGTAAATGTAACACTGCCCTCCTCGGACTACTCAAGCCTTCAGTTCAAGGATATTTCCTGCGTCACAAACTTTTGTGTCGTTAGTATGGTACTTTAGTAGCTTATAAACTCTGAACTACACACTTGCATTTCCCTCGTCTAATACTGGCAAGTTTGGACAGGCAACGCCACGGACTGATAGCGTTCAGGAACCTCTGGCCTGTGGTTTCAAAATAAGGTAGAAGTAGAATAAACAGTTCCAAGAAAAAATTTCTAGCACAATTTATATATATTTAGTAAATCTTAGTTCTTGTTTGGACATGAATTCTATTACTTATAAGTTATAGTACATTTTACATTTACTGAACAAGAAGTTCTATAGTATAGGTATTGTGTTGTTGTAATGATAAAATATAATCCTGTCACAAGCAGGAAAAAGTTGAAACTGTATAACTATTTCTGTAATTTATAAGAAATAGGCTTAAGTTTTAATAAATGAACGTTGTGGAAATTATATAAACCACTTATTTATTATCGAACGTTGTATAGTAGGTAAAACGTTTAGTTATATCTATTTAGTAATTTATTCCAGCTAGAGAAATTACTGAAATACATATATATAGTTAAAGACGCTGTAAAATAATTATGCATTGAAAATGTATTGTAAATTGAAAAATATGAACCTGTTAGTATTAGAAGATTTATGAAAATGAAATTTAATTTAATAGATGCTATGAAGCTTGATGGCTTCGATGGACCCTATTTGCCTATTTTTGCACTCAAGATTTTTTGAAATCCCAGTACTGTGCATGAAATCCTGAGAAGTTCCTGGAGAATCATTAAGTAAACCTGAAATTAGTTTTGAACCTTCTATGATTTATTCAAACAATTTGTTTACATAAATTTCGAGTATTTCCTTATTTTTTTTGTTATAAAATATGAAAAAGATGAATTCGAAAACTGATGAAAAACTACAAAATAAATAGTTAAATCGTAAATTCTACAGCTGGTTATATTAGCCCTAGTTGCAAATGTGGTCTTATATACAGAAAACAAAGTTTTAATAAAATGTTTTTATTCATAACGAAAAATCCCCCGGTGAGTTTTCGGATTTACAATGCTCAAATCAGGAGGTTCGATTCCTCTCGGTGGACATACCAGACAGGCCGATGTGGCTTTGCTATAAGAAAACACATAACGAAAAACAAAACAACATATTCGTTATAGCATTAGAAAGTAACATATAAGAAAAAGATAGGTAAAGTGTAAACATTACGGTCATTCATTTTTAGTACAAAAAAAAAACAAACTAAAAATTATAACAGGTTTCTATCAAATTACGTTCATTGGTAATGAAAGAATAAAAAAGAATATTCTCCACGGTATTACAGGTCAATAAATAAAAAAATGTAATAAAATTGTTTTATGTAGGATTCGAAAACAATAGTATGTCTGCGCACTCAGTGACAGTGACATTCGCATTCCCATGTTTAAACCTTTCTTTCATATTAACATCCAGCTCAAGAGCATATGCTGATACGTTGCTCTTTTTAAATCCATTACGACACTGGGTAGTTGTTTTTAATGTTTGGATAAAAGATAATAAATCATAAGTTGCCACGTCTAAATTAAAACTTTCTCTAGACAGCAAACATGGTCTTTTCCGTCTTCTTACATTTTAATTATTTTCATTTTTCTTTACCATCAAGGTTTGTGTGTTTGAAATTAAACACGAAGCTACACAATGGGCTATCTGTGCTCTGCCCACCACGGGTATCGAAACCCGGTTTCTAGCATTTTAAGTCCGAAGACATACCACTGTGCCACTGGAGGGCACCGTCAAGGTATGACAGTTACTACACTTTGGCTTTGATAGTCTGCCTGGTTGACGGATTTTCATCAAATCGTCAGGTATCTCTTCCCTGAAAGTCCTTATTGTAATAGTTTTCTTAGCCTTAGATTTGTACACAACAAATGCATTGGCAACAGTTATATCAAAAATAACTTTCATTTCTAATTTCCGATACCATTTCACCCTCTTTGAAGAGTCGTTGCATAGGATGACATCAGGTCTGATATATGTATACCAGTCTTTCCTTTGTTATATGCTATCACTGTTCTTAGTTTCTTCTTGCTTTGGCATCTGTCTCGATCTCTAGATGGTTGACTGGCTTAATTTGTGGATAGTGCCTTGAGTTTTTGTTAATTTCCAGTTTGTGTATCATTATTTGAGCTTTGGGTTTTCTATCTATAAACTTCTATCATGTCTGGGGCATTCGAACGTCACGTGTGTTACTCCAGTTTTGTCTTCTTTTGCAACCATTTCTCCTTTGTTCCGTGGTGCACTTAGGACTTCTTTGGTAAAGTTATCTTTATTTGCCCTCACTGTCGGTCTTCTTCCTTAGGAAAGGTAGAGCTAATTCACAGCTTGTATAAAAGTTATCTATATACAGGGTTCACCCTCATTCAATAATCTTTTAGTTAGCTCTCCACAAACATTTTGAGCACGTTCACCTTCTACTTTTCCAGTTCAGATTTCCAAGAATATATTTTGATCACCCATGTGTAATTCTCTGATCAACAAAGTTTGAAAAGCTTTATTCGGAAATATTTGTGGGCTTTGGCTGAAATATATTGCCTGAACACTAATCGTTCTCTCTATGGAACGACAGTTTCGTCAATTACAAAATCTGTACCCAGAATCGTGGCTTCTCGAAATTTTTTCTGTACTATATCAAAGAGTGTTTACATTTTTCGGAGTCGATCATCCTTTTTAATTGCTTCATTATTTGCAAAATGAAAAAGCTTGAGCAGATGTTCGAATTTGGTGCGTGACAGTACACTGGGAGCTACAATATTTCTGTAGACTTCATTACTTGAATAATATGACTGTATTTTACCCATTCTCATGCGTCGATGTAAGGTAACAATACTCACGGTAACGAGAAAAATACCGAAGATCCGAGTAACGTGACATCAACAATATTAGTAAAACCTAGACACAAAGTAGGACTCGTACAGAGTTACGTAACGAAATTTGTTACAACTAACACTTTTAAAGCAACCCATCTTCAACACTCCTGTCTTAAAAACTAAACAATCACAAAATAAACTAAATAATATCACTTACGTTAAACGGTCTTGAATATCCAACAGTTGCTATTGAACACACCACCCGCATTGTCTTCGGGAAATTGGAATTGAGAATCACTCATTGGTCACTTTACTAAAAAAGAGTACATCATACGATTTACTTAAATATATACAGAACTATTCAACTTGCGTTAAAACAAAATCCATAAAAAGTGTCGCGTCTGACCTATATAAAAGCTGTGTGTTACTTCACGCTTAATTTCACGAAATAGGTAGAGTAATAAAAGCCAAAATGCATTTATACAGATAAAATAGTTCGATTACTGTCTGCCCGTTACAATTTTAGTGACAGGGATGCAAGGGGGCTGTGAAACTTTATAAGTGTAGTGAGTGTTGGTATTGTTGCGTCAGCAGTCACATGACTACAGTGACGCAACGTTTCTAGAATTATCATGTACTTTGGCG